TAAAACATTTGAAATACTTTGGAAATGTTGCTTTTATTTCAAAATTTAGAAGACGAAATTTGTGTGTGTTGTTTTCTTTTAAATATGTCTATCAATTTGTATGAAAGATCTTAACTGTAAAATGATTATGGACTTCTAACATATTCAAGTTTTTCAAGAAAATAGCTTAAATAAAGTAATCTTTGTAACATACATGCATACTTCTTCATTTATAACTTCATACTCCAATGTCATCTTTATCAAATTTCAAACATATATGACAGTGAATGTAATTTTTCATAATTGATGAAAAATAGAAAACAATACAAAGTTTCATGTCTCATAACTCAAAAACAACGAAAAAAAGGATAACAAGGAAGTTATTTGGCGATGACAAGGAGTAAAGTGAGATAGAAGACTTGGGAATGAGGTACTCCTAATAAAGATTTAAATAGATACAGAAAAAAAAAAAAAACAACTAAGGAAGGGTTGGGGACTTTAATATGTATTCATTCAACAGTCTTCCTGTAAATCTGTACAGTAACACTATTTATAAACTGCCAAAAATTGTAACCAACTTGTCTTCCAATAAATGAATGGATAGTAGGCAATGGATAAATAAGCTGTGGACCATCAGCAAAATTGAAAATTACTCATAATAAAAAATAAATGAGCTACCTACCATGGAAATACATAGCAGAACTTTAAATATAGTTACTAAGGCAATTAAGGCAGTCTGAAATGACTAAATACTTTATAATTCCAACTATATGACATCTGGAAATGACAAATCCATAATGACAATAATAAAGTCAGTAGTTGCCAGGGACTAGAGGAAGGGTGGCACATTCAGAACATTCAGGGCAGGGAAACTGTTATATTTCTTATCATAATGGTGGATATAGGACATTAAAAGTTGCTCTTAAGAAGCATGTAAACTAGGATTACACGCACACAAAAGCAAGCAAACAACAAATCTACAATGATCCAAAGATTGAACAGACTCTACAAATGCTAAGACTTATATAGAAAAAAATACTAAGGATATAAAACACTTTTGATCAGATCACAGTTACATATTGTTGCTCTTATCTGAGTAGGTAGGTACCTCACATACACATGCATCATAATTTGAAGAATGGGTGTTGATAAGAATAGAAGAAAATCTAGAAGTGAACACACTTTTTAGCTCTGAAAATCAGATGTCTGTAAGAGACAGTGATTAAGACACATTTAGCAACATTCTCTGATAACAGCCCCAAGTAAGTAAGATCTATAGAGTTAGTAAAGATGGATGAAGAGCCCACCACCATTGGATCTTAAGGTTGTTTTGTTTGCTTGTCTCTGTGTTAGTTTTTGTTATTCTTCAATTGATTCTTTTAAAAAATTCTGCATGATAGCAGTGTTTGTGATGACATACAGGATTATACTATTTGTGGAAAAGTGGCTATTGATGATTCTTACCAAGAAAATGATTCATTTTCTTATATTAACAATTGGTATAAATATGTGATGAAATAAAGCATAATGCAGAAAGAAGAGAGAACTAGTGAGTTCTTATTTTAATTGTTTTCCTTACTAAAAATTAATATGCAAACAAATATCTTTAAATTAAAAAGAATGAAATAAATATTACTGAAAGGAAATTAAATATTAACAAGAGAAAATAGTTAGTACCCTTAAAAATCCTAATTTTTTCAGTGATCTTTTTAATTTTAATTTTTCTTACATTAATTTTTTCCAGAGACATTCTACCCAGATATCACATATGAATGAAAATGCATATAGTTATTTTTACACAAATGGTAATATACTAACTGTATGCAATTGAGGCTTTTGAATTAACACTGAGTATTAGCTATAATCTACAAAAGAACATTTAGAGTTGTCTCTTATTTTTTCATGCTGCATACTATGCTGCTGTATGTATGTACCACCATATCTAACACTATGAAATACTACTCATTTATAAAAAGAATGAGGAAGAGATTTATGTGCTGAAATGGAACATTGCAGCTGCATTTCTATGTGATATAAATTTGCTAAAATTTATATACATATATATGTATGTACATAGAAATATCTGTGTGTGTGTGTGTATCTAGGATATTATTTCTTTACAAACTATAGACCACATGGAAAATTATTGGGAAGGAAAGAAAAAAAGTATTAATGCTTATGTATGAGGTGGCAAATAGGATCAGTATTGATTAAGGTCTTTGATTTCTATTTTTTACATTTGTTTGATTTTTGAGTGTTTAAATAAAATTATATATAATTTTATTAAATTAAATATAAAATTACATATAGATACCGCTTTTGAAACTAAAATATTTGGTTACTTACAGAAATGCTAATATATGTTATGTTGTATTAACATATTTCACATTAAAACTGTAAATGTCTAAATGCACTCTGTCCCTGTCAAATGGTATCCAGTCTGTCATAAAAGGCGATATTATTAAATTAAATATAAATTATATATGTTGGTACTGCTTTTGTAACTAAAATATTTAGCTACTTAAAAAACACTAATACTATGTTATGTTTTATTAATATTAACAGAGAGAGAGAGACACGGTTTCCACACATTAAAGACAGTAAATGTCCATGCACTCTGCCCCTGTCAGATGTCATCTGGTATATCATGAGAAGTGATATTATTAATTAATTAATAAGCACACCCTGCCAGAATGTAAGGATTTCATGCAATTAATTAATCATGAAAACAGCTTTGAGAATGATTACTTTAGAAAAGGGAAGAAGAGTAAAAGGGTATACTGTGGTTACCTTAAAATACAAATATGGCTGTAAGGTTTTTAAAACATTGATGTGTTCTACGTTTTATTTCAAAATGCATAATTTATAAAAAGTTTAACTCTACTATGTAGAATAACTTACTTGCAAAGAATTTTAACTTGAATGGAAGGATATGCAAAAATAATCCAAATAAAACACATCCCAAAACAAATTTAATACGGAAAATTTCATGTTCTTTATACCCGCATTGGACAGGAGGTATCATCATGTGAGTTAATATTCTCTTTACTTTCTCAGATTTTCTGATTAATTGCTTGTGATTCAAGTTTGGGCCCATGTATACAGCTAAAATTGAGGAGCAGGTATCTGTGTAATATTTCACTCACAATAACCATTGGATACTACTGTCATGATACCTTTGTAAGGAGGAATGAATGAAAAGGAGATTAGGACTGAACATCCAATAAGATCTCATTCATCTATGTTTTTTTGAATCAACCATGATATTTTCATTTTACATATTATGGAAGGCATGAAAATGATTCAAATATGCCAATTAGACAACAGCAAAATTTCACTCATTTTTTATAATCTGTGTGCCATTTGTTTCCCAGGGATTATAATAACTTGCTGAAGTTATTTAACTTCTTTTCTGAAATATTTGAAATTATATAATTAGATTTTTTACAGATTTTATTCTGTATATTCACTTTTCCCCAACATCCTTGATTCTTCTTGTTTCTTCCTTATTATTTAGATTAGTGTAATTCAGTATAATAGCCAGTCTTTTGAGGTGATAAATGTGTGGCTGTGATGGAGTAATGATAAATATTTCTAGACACACACGTGTATATGTCTACTAGAAGGTAAATCTTGTTTATTAATGTTTTGCTTTTTCTTCTTGTCTTTCCACTTTCCCATGTACATGTATTCATTATTACAAACTATTAATCATATACATTGCAATTTTTTAACATCAGGAAAAGAATCTGCTATGATGCCCAGCAATTATAAACTTCAAAGAATAATTTTTGAATTCCATTTGTGTAGACTTTATTTAGACCACTTTTAATTTCATAGCAAAATTGAGAGGGAGATACAGAGATTTCCCATGTATCCCCTGCTCTCACACATGCATAGCCTCCCCGATTAGCAACATCTCCCACCAGAGTGGTGCACTTGTTACAATCAATGGACCTACATTGACACATCATTACCCCATATTTATACTTTATATTAAGGTTCACTCTTGGGGTTGTACATTCTATGTGTTTGAAAATGTTTATAATGACATTTTTCCACAGTTATTTTATCAACCACTGATCTTTTCAGTGTCTTTTGTTTTTCTCAAAGCAAAACTATATTTGTCATATAGTTGGAATTATAAAGTAGGTAGTCTTTTAAAATTGGCTTATTTCACTTAGTAATAATCATCTAAGTTTCCTCCATGCTTCTTCATGGCTTGCTATCTTTTTCCTTTTTAGTGCTGAATAATGTCGCATCGTTGGGATCTACCACAGTTTATTCATTCACCTACTGAAGGATGTCTTAATTGCTTCGAAGTTTTGACAGTTACAAAACAAGCTTCTGAAAACATCAGTGTTCAGGCTTTGGTGTAGACATACACTTTCAACTTATTTGAGTAAATATTAAGGAGCTCAAATAACAAATTTTAAGGTAAAAGTATATTTATTTTCTTGAGAAGCTGCTAAATTGTCTTCCAAAGTGATTGTATCACTGCATTTCCATCAGCAATGAATGAGATGTACTGTTGCTTCACATCTAGCATTTGGTGGTGTCAGTGTTCTAGATGCTGACCATTTCAACAGGCTTGCAGTGGTACAGTAGCTCATTTCAATTTTCATTTCCCTGGTTCATAGGATTTGAAATATCTTTTCATAGGCTTATTTACTGTTTATATATCTTCTTTAATTAGGTGTGTATTAAGTATTTTGGCCCACTTTCTAATTGAGCTCTTCTTTTTATTATATAGAGTTTAAGATTTATTTGTATATTTCATATAATAGTCTTTTGTCAGATATGTTTTTTGCAAATATTTCCTCCCATTCTGTGATTTGTCTTTTCATTCACTTAATAGTGTCTTTTGCAGAGCATAAATTTTTAATTTTATAGAAGTCCAGCTTATCATGAGGTCAGGAGTTTGAGACCATCCTGGCTAACATGGCGAAACCCCATCTCCACTAAAAATACAAAAAGTGAGCAAAGCATGGTGACACACACCTGTAATTCCAGCTACTCAGGAGGCTGAGGCAGGAGAATCACTTGAACCCAGGAGGTGGAGGTTGCAGTGAGCCGAGATCAGGCCACTGCACTCCAGCCCGGACAACAGAGCAAGACTCCGTCTCAAAAAACAAACAAACAAACAAAAACAAAAAACAAACAAACAAAAACACCTTTCTTTCATGGATTGTGCTTTTGGTGTTGAATCCAAAAATTCACTACCAAAACCAAGGTCATCTAGATTATCTGCCATG